GCAGTTGCCATCATCTCCTGGTTTCCTGACAGCAGCTGGTTATTATGCTGGCTTTTCTCTACTTGGAGGACCCAGGCTGCCTGGCTCCCCATTGCCACCACTTGGCCAAGCTTTCATGCCACTTCATGCAGCTGCTTTGCGAGGTGATAAACAGAAACTTGCTGAATTACTTCAAGGTGAGGAGTAACAAATTTAGTAAGTTTGTTGTAGATATTTTTATAGGATGATTGCAACAAACAACATTTACTGTAGGGATGTCAGAGCCATGTATTAAAATTCCCATACATGTATGTAATGTTTCAAAAGAAGAAAAGAAGATGCTTTCTTGAACTTTATTTGTTTATAATTTCTATTTATAGTACACTATAAGGATGGACAGATTCCTTAATTGCACAGTTCATAGGTTCAAAAACTGTTATTCTCTCTTGATAGATCTGTTTTTCCCCTATGTATTGTATTGGATATTGAGAAAATATATTATACTTTATTTTTGTAATATGTTATTTTATTGTTATTTTGTGGTTATTAAATTTGTAGTAGTAGTTTTCTGATCTTTTTCTTTTTAAATTTTGTTTTCAAGTGTGTTAACCCCTACAATCCGGATGACTTTACAGTCCAGTCATGGAAAAATCTGGCTCGAAGGCTGGGTGACGTAAACAGGCCGGGTAACATGAACTTGCTATCATGAGCACAGGCCAAGGTGACAGAAAAGATTCACCACAAGTGCACAAACTCTTGTGTGATTAGACTTATTGGGCACTTAGAAGGGGGCTTTTTAATTATTCCCATCAATAAACAAATGTGGAATGTAAGGCGTGTAAATCATGACTGGAAGAGAGCCGGCTCCAGGGAGGACACCATATCCATGCTTTGCACTGTAGTCCTGGCTGGTGTGTCCAAAGGCACAGGTTTTATTACAAAAAATTGAAAATCATGAAAAAATAAGATATATGACACAAACAAGCAAATGTTCCATATATATTTTTTTTTTTCTTGCATTGAAATATTTACTAAGAGAAATGATATGGAGTCTATGCAAGGAAAATAAGCTGTTACCATCAGGATAAAACAAATCAAAAGACAAATAAGGACATTGGAAAATCTAAAAATGTTTATACAAAATAACTTTGCAAAGAGTAGGTCTTGTCACCACTCATGAGTGTTCGCACTTGCCCGGGATATTGGCCACGTACGTAGCCCACTGCCAATATTTTTCAGCATTGTGATTTCCATGATACAGCTGGATCCAATGGGTTAACTTTTAGACCCTTTCATCTTTTCATATTTTTTATTTATGCAGTAACTTCTAACATCTAAAATTTTGCCTCTTGTATACTGTTTTTGAGCTGTTTTTGTATTGTCCTTTTTTTTGTTTCTGTACCCAACACAAATGATATTTAGAGATTTTTATTTCATTTTTAAATTTTAGAAAAGAACATTAACCTCGAGATACGTGATCGCTGGGGTCGTGTTCCTCTTGTGTATGCAGTACTGGGTAACAATCAAGAAGGAATGGACCAATTGCTGCGTGCTGGGGCTCGGCCAGATGCTGTTGATTCACACAAATGTACTCCACTACACTTTGCTGGATATAAGGTGTGTTGTATGGGTGCCTTCTATTTTCATTACATATTTTTGACTTTTTCTATTTTTGTTGATTAATGCTAAGATATTTGGTACTTTGGTTCTTTTTATTTGCTACAAGTTATGTGAAAGTATAGCATAGGTTGTTCAAGGGAACCTGTTCTGCTAGAATTACTGGGAAATGTTTATGATAATTAAGTGGTGATTATGATGTTTATATCAGCAAAATCTCAAGCAATGACCCTAACTTTGTTATTTTAGCAAAATAGAGCACCATATGTATAAGGACTCTGTAACAAAGCATGTGTTAAACTATTTAGTCTACACAACATAGAGCAGGCTAGACCACACATGATGTAAAAATGTCTACCAATATGTGATTGGATGTCATTCCATCATGAAAGGGTTAACTTGTTCATCTCCTTTACTTAGCATAGAATGTAAGAGAAAAAATGGAATGCTTGGATCATTGTAATAACTTGAATTCATGTTTTTAATGTTTTATAATCCTTTTCAGGGTTACTTAGGGTGTATTAAGGCCATCTTACATGCAGTAGAAAGCCGAGGACTCCCTCTCATTGATAATCAAGGTGGGCTGTGGTTGGCCCAAGATTTGCGAGGCGTGACACCTCTTCACCATGCAGCACATCACAGCAACAGCAAAGGCCTTCATGCCTTATTGAAATATGCTGCACCAGGAACCTTGGACACTGTTGATCACAAAAAGGTAGATGTAACTCCTTATAAATATGTAATTATGCCATAGATTTTTGTTCATGTTCATTTTGTGACAATTAATGCAATAGATAACTTGCGAACTGAGAACTGCAGAGCTGTAAAATATGGCCATTGTTATGCAATGCAGTAAAGGACAAAATATGAAGATTTTTTATGCTTAGGAATTTTGATACATACCTCAGAAAACCCTGTTGCAGGTGTTGCATGTCCTGCCCCAGGCTACAGTGAATACTCCTTGTCACAATTATTGGAAAAGTCAAAATATAATTTCAGAGGACCCCATTACACTGGGCAGCTGCATATGGCTCAGAGGAAAATGTTCGACTGCTGATAAAGCATGGGGCAAACAACCTTATGCCAGACCAGGAAGGAAAAACACCCCTCCATTGGGCTGCTATAAGCAAGGCTGAAAGTGCGACAGCATGTGTTCGTACACTAATAGGTGCAGCTCCTTCAAGCGTGAACTGGCAAGACTATGATGGGATAACTGCCTTGCATTTAGCAGTTGCTGAAGCAAGAAAGGATATAGTCGATGTTATACTCTCTGTACCAAAATGCAATGTAGATTTAACAGACAATCATTTCAGGACAGCCCTACACTGGGCTTGCAACAGGTTTGTACTTCTTTGAATGAGTAGAATAGAGTTTTAATGACCTTTAAAAAATTTAACTTTGTCTGTGACTGAATGTAATAACTTTGGTAAAAAAAGGTGTGTACATTATGGAAAACCTTATAATCTGTATTAGTACAGCCATCAATTACAATCATAGATTATTTTCATTAGTGAATATAAACCATATTTCAGAGGACTGACAGCAATAGTTAGCCGATTGTTAGAACGAGGAGCTCATTTAGGTGCAGTTGATGTTTATGGAGCAACTCCACTGCATTATGCTGCACAGCTTGATCATGCTGATACAGTGGAACTGGTAAGAAGAAAAAATTATGTTATACACAAGTAGATATTGGTTTGACTAAACTTCCATGATTCTGTAAAAGGAACTTATATCACTGACCCATTTTTATTTCAGTTGGTTAGGCGACCATGTGTCCGGGATAATCCATCAAAAGAAGGTCACACAGCCATGTTGTGGGCAGCAGCACGCGGTGCTGATTCAGCCCTCACAGTAATGGCAAGACATGGATCATCCTTAACTCAGGCTGATCCAGGAGGATGCACTGCCCTGCACATTGCAGCAGGATCAGGTCACGTCTCCACTGTTGGTGTCCTACTGCGCCTACGTGCACCGATTGACATATGTGCTAATGATGGCTGCACACCTTTGCTTCATGCTGCACAAGGGGGCCATGCCCACATTGTTAAATTATTAGCAAAAGCTGGAGCATCTCTTGATCATCGTGACAGCGAAGGTCAATGTGCTCTGCACCATGCAGTCCTTGGTGGACACCTCTACTTGGCCCAAATTCTCATAAGAGCAGGTACAAGCAGTCAGGGTCATAGGATTTTTGCTTATGCACTTCTTTGCATAGACAGATTTATAAGTATTCTTATATACATGACTATACTGTTTGTTTACATGAATAATTTCATTTAGGAGCATATTTTTAAAATGGTAAATGATATTTAAAGAATGATGAATATTTTTGTGCATGTATAGGTACATGAATAAGTTTATTTAACAGTTATATTATTTGATTCTACTTTTTAGGTACATCTGTAAATGTACGTGATTACTCTGGACGTACTCCTCTTCATATGGCAGCATATAGAGGACTGAGTGACATTATGTTCCTATTATTAGAAAATCGAGGTGATGTAAATGCCAGAGATCATCAGGTAAGAGTTTCCATTAGAATGTTTTCTTTAGAATGTGTTACCATTAAGCATATTGTCAGTGTTCTATATATTTAAGCATTACCATATGTAACTTGATAAATCACGAAATTGATATGATGAATTTGGCATTAAAACCTGGAGTGCAGCTTCTTTGCCAACTAACTTTACAGTAATTAAATTGATGTTTAAAAATATCAGTAAAGCATTATAATACCTTAATTGGAAATCCCAGGTAGAGGGTAATATGGAGCCCAGAAGTAAATACATGGTAATGTTTATAAAAACAGTTTCTCAGATCATATTAATGATTCTTAACAGGGTCAGAGTCCATTACATTGGGCAGCACAAGAAGGCCACTTAGGAGCTGTTAATACACTACTAGATTTTAGAGCATAACAGGGTC